AAGTTATACACACGATCTATATGTGACTCTTCAGGTCTGACGTCTAAGGGGCCTGACGGCTGAGTGGACACCGCTCGAGGTTCGTAATCCTAAGACTCAAGGTTCGATTCTCGGTGGAGGCGGAAACAAATGGTCAGAGTTTCTTTGATGCCCCTGTTCACCTAGCAGTAAATAGGTACCTGGGAGTTAGACAGCTGCTACGGGCTGCTTCCTGGGGATGTGTAACAAAAAGGAGGCCTGGTCGAGGACCGGGCCGCGGGGATGCTAAGCCCGGAAATCATCTCCAAATAACCTCAAGAACCGATAACATCTCAAGAAGGCCAAGAGGCAAGCATTCATCAAGCACAGGTATGGGCACAGGATGAGAGGAAAGATCTACAGGTTTCGTATGTCGACACTTAAGTGCTTGATGAATACCCCCCCACCCCACCAAGTGTGGCAGCCCCGTGGTCTATTGTGTTTGTGGCTTGTGGACTTGTGGCCCACAAGTCTACGTGCCAAATACGGTGTAGGAGGTTTGTGCACGAGCAGCTCCAGTTTAGCCAACCTGGGAGAGTTACCTCCCACAGTACACCGTCGCTCACACCATCCCCCAACACCACCCACAGGACACCCATAACACCCACAGCACACTCCCACAGCATCCAGTAGTGTGGCGACCTTTAAGAGACAGGAAAGGTACTTCCGGAATGTATAAATTGGATGTTCTGTTGGCCCTCACTCGCGGAATTCAGAGATAACACTATCAATGTTGTCCAAGAAATGTGTGAGTACTTCATTCATAATGATGAGCTGGCGGGAATCTTAGCGAAGTATCCAAGACTTGTTGACTGTGGTTGCAGCCTGCACATGACTGTAGGTGCAGCCTGCACATGACTGTAGGTGCAGCCTGCACATGACTGTAGGTGCAGCCTGCACATGACTGTAGGTGCAGCCTGCACATGACTGTAGGTGCAGCCTGCACATGACTGTAGGTGCAGCCTGCACATGACTGTAGGTGCAGCCTGCACATGACTGTAGGTGCAGCCTGCACATGACTGTAGGTGCAGCCTGCACATGACTGTAGGTGCAGCCTGCACATGACTGTAGGTGCAGCCTGCACATGACTGTAGGTGCAGCCTGCACATGACTGTAAAGCTGCCGCCCAGTTGGGTGGGTGTGGAGCAAGACTAGTAACTGTGTGACTCACCATAGATGTAAAGTGCCTTGTATAGTGACTGTTGTGAGCCTCTTGTTGAATCACTCGTGATATAAAAAGATTACCGATGTGTAGATGTATTTGTGTAAATGATTGTACATATATGTACATGTGTATGTAATACTAATAATTGTGTAACACGCCTCAAAAGATTGTCACTTGCTTAGCTAAATGAATATAGGGTTCAGTTCCTGAACCCATTATGTGCCTCTGTAATCCGTTCCACCACCGCCCACGGGATGGGTATGGGGTCCACCACCGCCCACGGGATGAGTATGGGGTCCACCACCGCCCACGGGATGAGTATGGGGTCCACCACCGCCCACGGGATGGGTATGGGGTCCACCACCGCCCACGGGATGGGTATGGGGTCCACCACCGCCCACGGGATGGGTATGGGGTCCACCACCGCCCACGGGATGGGTATGGGGTCCACCACCGCCCATGGGATGGGTATGGGGTCCACCACCGCCCACGGGATGGGTATGGGGTCCACCACCGCCCACGGGATGGGTATGGGGTCCAACACTACCCACGGGATGGGTATGGGGTCCAACACTACCCACGGGATGGGTATGGGGTGCATAATAAAGAAAGCAATTGAATTAGTTGGCCCTCGGCAACCATAGCGTGTGTGGTGGTAGTTCCTCACCTGGTGGTTAGGGGTAGTGGTTGGAGGGATGGGGGGGGGGGTTGCTGGTCATTGGTCGTGTAACAACCCCCCCCCCCACCCCCCTCCTCCCTCTCCTAGATGTTATAAAGGTGTTGGTTAGTTCAAGGCTATTCAATCACCTCCCAATAAACGTTAGAACTTGTGTTTCAGAAACATTTAGATAGGTTCCTACTGGGTATGTACCGGACCACCCGGGTTCTACTGGGTATGTACCGGACCACCCGGGTTCTACTGGGTATGTACCGGACCACCCGGGTTCTACTGGGTATGTACCGGACCACCCGGGTTCTACTGGGTATGGTGGCCTACTGACCGCTCTAAACAAGACACTACACATGTAAGTAATTATCAAAAAGAAGGCACCAAACCGGGAAGGCTATGTAGCACCATCAAATGTGCGGGATAATCAGAGGGCGCTAAATATCACCAAGGATGCCAATACCAGAACAAAAACTCATAAAGCGAACATATCAAAAGTATCCGAGTCACCAAGATTACTATTGAGGGACAAGTGACCGCGGGGGACGGTCGGAAAGTAAGACACGCTCGTCCTGGAAGTCAGGACATTCAACAAGGACATGCACAACTGTAAGAAGGACAATGCAGTTTGGACAATAAGGAGCAGGGCGGCGCTCCATTAAGTGACCGTGAGTTAAGCGAGTATGTCCAATACACAACCTTGCCAGAGCTGTTTCCCACCGCCGGTTACGGTGGTAGGAGGAAGGTCACGGGGACACACTACTCTTAAGAGTACGCAGTTTGTTACCAGTAACAGAAGACCAACAACCCTGCCAACGGGCAAGGATGGAGGTACGAATAACCGGGTAAAAGTGGGAATAAGGAATACCTTTACGGGAGATGGGACAAGAGCAGATAGCGTCTCTAGCGGCAGCACCCGCACGCTCATTTAATGAAACACCAACATGGCTGGGAGACACTACACAAGAAACTCACAATAAAATAATATGTCTGAGAACATCACTGGAGCACATTGGAGTACCTTGTTACGTCTGCCCGTTTCTTTAACGTATACACTACTCTCTACGTGTAGAGACTAGATACACTACTCTACGTATACACTACAACGTATACACTACACTACTCTCTTAGGGGTACTATGCTAAATGCTTTCCAATACTATAAAAATACACCAAATTAAGTGGCAGGCACAGTTCTTGTGCTGTGTCGTGTTCTACTGTCCCTGGTGAGATTTTGTCTGGTCCAGCTGTGCCTCCTGGCGTGGCTGGGAAGTTGGACCTTACCTTAGCTTACCTTGGAGTTTTCCCGGGGCTTAGCGTCCCCGCGGCCCGGTCGTCAAGGCCTTCTCGTTGCTGAACTGATCAACCAGGCTGTTTGACGCGGCTGCTAGCAACCTGACACACGGGGTCCACCACCCCTGACCCCATACCCATAACCTTTGCCTTATTTGATCCGTCGTTTTTATACTGTCTGTAGTTTTCTTCTCATACTGAGGTAATCCCCGCCAAACACACACCGAAACTACAACGTTGGTACAACGTTCGAACAAGTTTTAACACCTACTAACCAGTTATAACGACCAATATAGCTAGTTGTAACAACGTTCTAATACGTCATAAACACGTTAAGCCAAGGTGTAACAACTTTATTACAAGTTGTAACAAGCGGAAAATAGAGACAGTTTCGGCTTGTGTTTCCAGAGTCATTCCTGCTCCCTCTCTGTGTTCTAGTGTTCTGTTATTCTTGTAGGTTCCTCCTGACCTTCTCTTGCTTCTTTACATCCCATTAAACCATTACTTCTTCCTTCGTAATTCATTCTTTTTTGTTATGAACCAAAAGAACGAACCAAAACCCGGACGGACTTGTGCTTTCTGCCTCCTGACACCTGTGGGTGATGGACTATATGTTTCATGCAGTATTTTCTCTTAAGAATGCCATGGGAAGCACAACTTATTAGATATGTTCTCATCTAATGGTATGTCAGGCTTGCTTTCTGGTCCCTTGCTTGAGTTATTATGTATGAGAGAGAGAGAGAGAGAGAGAGAGAGAGAGAGAGAGAGAGAGAGAGAGAGAGAGAGAGAGAGAGAGAGAGAGAGAGAGGGAGGATATAGCGGGGTTGGAGGGGGGGGGGGAGAAAGGGGAGAGGAAGAGAGAGAGAGGGGGAAGAACGAGGGGGAAGACCAAGGGGTCAGGGACGAAGGTCTATCGACAAATCCACAAGGGTCGTGATGAGGGTTTGAACCCTCATCACGGCCCTTGTGGATTTGTTCATTTGATGTATCACGCTATAGTGATGTCTGTGTGTAATGAGCGGTCTATGGCTTTAGAAAAGCACTGTTCGAGAACTATTTGAGCGTCATTAGTCAAGAGTCATTCATTCTTGTAATGAATGACTCTTAAGAACCTTAATTCTTAGTAAGAAGATTAAGATTAAGAAGAAAAGAAGATTAAGAAGAAAAATAAGATTAAGAATCTTAATTCTTGCAATGCAAGCAACAGGAGGGCCAAGTACCAAAATCTACACAGTAAAATAACAACGTACTGGAGTGAACGATATGGAAGAAAATGTAGAATAGAACCAGTGAAGAGCAGAGGTGCCATAGGCACAATCAGAGAACACTGTATAAACATCAGAGGTCCGCGGTTGTTCAACGTCCTCCCAGCGAGCATAAGAAATATTGCCGGAACAACCGTGGACATCTTCAAGAGGAAACTAGATTGTTTCCTCCAAGGAGTGCCGGACCAACCGGGCTGTGGTGGGTATGTGGGCCTGCGGGCCGCTCCAAGCAACAGCCTGGTGGACCAAACTCCTCTTCATGTCTTGAACTTTGTTGTGTCGTACATGCCAACGCCTTGTAGGTGGTTCTGTGTACCACCACTCAAGTCACACAAGTTGGCTTCTACCTTGTTACAAATATACTTATGCTCGGTGTGAGTTGGTGCACCAAGGCAAAGTGCCACTGCAATACGAAGGTCGGGGGGAGGGGGGGGTGGGAGTTTAGTGTCTTGATCTAGACGAGTGCCAGTTGCAGACTCTGGCATTGTGCATAGAAAATCCCCTGCATGGGGGGCAGTAACAGCTCTATACTGGTGTATTGAAAAGCATTTTGGAAATTTCATTGTAACATCTATGTTGTTGAACATATTTTCTTGTCTTTCCAGATGTGTGTGATGCGGCAGTGATGACACAGCAAGTGCTTGTGCTGTAACCATTGGGCACCAGTGACGCAAATTATGACGCAGTGAGGGAGGAAAGGCTTATCCGTATGGCTGTTCATGCCATGCATCACAGGCATAGTGAAGCAAGCAGCGGAGCAGTAATGACGCAATTGAGTTGTGAATAGAGAGTGAGGTGGTTGTGATGTGGTGGTGACCCCCGAGGGGACCCGAGGGAGGACCTTCACCATCACCACTGCCACCCAGAGTGCCTCTTACTCCCCCTCCTCTCCAGGGTGATGCCTAGGTGACCCCAGGTGACCCCACGGAGGACCTACAGTGCCGCACGCTCCCCCAGGGTGATGGCGGCGCCCGTAGTGAGGTGGTGATGGTGAGAATGGTGACACGCATCCGCCTATAGTGCAGGTGAGCATATACTTCACTATATCTGTCATACTCCTGTGTCTTAGCCAACTTAGAGTCATCACAGGGAGATGGAAAGGAGGTAATGAAATGTAATCTTCGTCGACGGTTTTGGCAACACCGGACTCTTAATTACTCTAAGGGAAGATGCCTCCATCATCTTAACTTTGTTCTGCTAAGTAGCCACTCACCACCCACTTTGTCTTACTATTTAACAAGTAAGAAAGTCAAGTAAACGAATTTTAAAAGAATTGGAATCTCGCACATCCCATATTGACATATTTGATCAGGTTTTGACATTAGATATAATGGTTCAGAGAATTATATTTGTACTGATGCCCAACTGGTTCTCCACCTCACTAAGGTGGTGGAGGTGGGAGGGGGGGGGCGCTAGCCTCCCCCTCTCTAGTGAAAAGGGTTACATAATACGTTTAGGCAACCTCACAGTTCATTTACCAAGTCACAATTTTGTGAAGCTAAACAATTGATTTTTCTTGTACGCAAATGCGTGTACAATTATCACGAGTCTTTGTATATTGAGTCAAGAAGTGGCCCACAACGGTCTCTAAACTCGGCCACAATACGACACGTGTTGCTTAAGGCACAAGTGCCCTGGGAGTCACCACAACGCTGCTCCAAATGTTCAAATGAACAAAGGAACATTGTTCAAAATGTTTTCCCTTCGTTATTAACCTGGCAGCCCATTTCATACCTCACTGGGGCTCTGCGTGGACTACTTCACGCTCATGAGTAGTTTTCTTTAACTGGGAACACTACCAAGCTCAACCCTCATGGCTGTGGATGTCATCCAAGGATGCATAACATCCATCCAATAACTGGTGTGGATGAGAGTGGCGACCACCTGTGTTCCGAGGCTAGGCTAGCCACTACGACTCAATTCCCCGACCGTCCAAGTAGTTGGGTACCATTCCTTGCCTCCGTCCCATCCCAAATCCTTATCCTGACCCCTTCCCAGTGCTATATAGTCGTAATGG